TAATCGTCTAAGGCGCCGCCATTCGCTGTGCAGAGTTGCGTCCCTTGGGAATGCCAGAAACCTATGATTGTGGGTTCGAATCCCGGTTCGCCCCGATTATGTTTCTAGGTTTGTAAGCACCATACCCATGCTCGTGGGTTTCACCGAAGTGGTTAACGTCTGACACCTGCATCACTTCGGGCTTTCCTCCCACATTAAGCTGACACGCCGTGATATAACTGGAATACTGTTAAAAGCTGCGTTAAACCCAACTCACTCACTCATCAGCAGTGTAAGCTTATTTCTACTTTGGATTAATCGTCACAATGTTGTATAATTTGTAAAAGGTTAAACAGTGATAAATGGATATAAATATAACAAGTGTACAAAGAATTATTGAAACATCGAAAAAGAATGATAATTTGTTCTGGTCCCGTGAAGATCCGGAGTAGAATAGGTCTTCAGCAACCCATGCTTGCCGTAAAAGGCGACTATGCTTGTCGTGAGAGGCCACTAACGCGATCGGGTGGTCAGGCTCGCTGACTTGATTGATGCATGTCATCGTTTCCCAATTGCGTAGATCGATGCTCATGATGTCAATCACAGGATTGTCTGGTCCCGACTCAATTATTTAGACCCTCGTCTTTTAGTATAAGTTGGAATAATACTGAGTGCGGCGTTAGACAAACAAAGAGAAATGCCCAAAAGGGAAGCAACAAGCTGGACGTGTACCACTTGGGTAAAACCCATGAGTATGGATACGATGCCGACAAATCAAGCATCATAATCTGGGAGAATTTGGTTATTCGAACCCTTCGCTGGCACTCAGGCGTTTGGTCCACCCGTGTCCACATATCATTTTCAAAAACCAATTAACAGATCAAACATTCCTATTTTAATCATATAGAGATATGTTTTACAAATGAATGTCAACAATATCAGTAAGAATCGGCTTAGTACAGCTAAACGATGGACAGATACATACATTCGGGAATACTCGGGGTAATGGTTGCAATTTTATCGTGATTCAGAAACAGAAGCATGTGATGGTTGATCCATGTCATCGTATCCCATTTGCGTGGATCGATGCTCAAGATATTAATCACTGGATTGTCAGGTCCAGACTCGATTATTTACAGACCGCCGTCATATAGCTGGAATATTGCTGAGTGCGGCGTTAAACAACAAACCAACCAACCAAAATCAATCTGACAGTGATTTAAAACTAATCATTGTCAAGTTTAGGTTTGTGCATGTATAAACTTGGACTGCATCTCTTATTATTGTAACAACTTTTCAGTCGGACAATCTTTATATATTTTTGGACAACTGTTTCCCAAATTGTCTACAAAGTATTCCCGGGTTCGATATAAAAACAACGGGGTAACGAATAATAACGATTCACGATAAAAAGACATAAGTTACACAGAAAACAGAAAATGCACTATAACACTACTCTTGCGAAACACTGTGTCACAGTTAATTATTAAAGCGAAAATCGAATCACGGCAAATTAAATGACGTTAGCGAAGAAGGTTTTCCCTACCCGCATATTAAATAGACATATAGCATTCCAAAAGCTAATGAATCATGAACAACGAGCACGGAATTTACTTTGGATTGTTTAACTTTTGTTTGATATGCGATATCGAATTCAAATATGTTCGAAAACAAAATGAACAGACGTTTTCTTGAAATGTATGTCTTTCTGTTACCCAATATCTGTAGGCGTATTGGTGGATATGTGAGCGGAACACTAGATCTATTTTTCAATCAGAAACCGATCCTTCTTCTTACGGTAGCTCCATGTATGCGTCATTCCACAAACCCTAGATAAAACTCTTATAATAGACCACTAGGTATACGAACACGAAAAACCGATTTTATTTATGTTTACAACCTACAGAAACACCATTACACGTACAATGGAGAAATTTAGACATAAAGTCTTGTCATAATGTCTTGTGGAGAGTTTTTTGTCACTTTGTATCTTTATGAATAGATCTAAATGTGCGAAATTGACATTAGTTACATAAGTATTAGCGACAAAATTCTTTCAGTTCAATCTGAAAATGACATGGATATTTGGGAGGCGTATTTGGTTAGTTTCAACAGTTATACCACACACTAATCAGATTATATTTTTAAAACTACAATTATAAGACATATTTTTCAATTGGTGTTTTGGAAGAAAAAAATACTGTGAACATATCTAGACATCTTCACCTTCATCTGAATCTGGCTATGAAAATGATCCACTGATCCACTAATCCCAGGAACATCTCTAACAACTCTTCCATCAAATTAAGCGTCACACGAAAATGTTTCGTTGCTCATGTTGAAGACGGACGAACTTACTTGACAGTTGTCGTAAGCAGTAATCCAATTTAAGGCGTGGTGGTTAGGTTGGTTGGTTGATTGGTTTGTTGTTTAACGCCGCACTCAGCAATATTCCCGCTATATGACGGCGGTCTGTAAATAATCGAGTCTGGACCAGACAATCCAGTGATTAATATCTTGAGCATCGATCCACGCAATTGGGATGGATGGCATGCATCAACTAAGTTAGCGAGCCTGGCCAGGAGATCGGGCGTTCGGAAAGGGGGCTTACATAAAATTTTAGATAGCAATCCAAAAATATTATGTACAGCTTGTTTTTGTCCCCCGTCCGAACGTCCCACCTGTTTGTTGCCGCGATATCTCAAGAAATAAACACTGGATTGTCTTCATATTTGGAACTTGGTGTATATACAGACTCCGCAGACACCAGTCGGTTTTGGTGACCTTGACCTCATGTTCAAGGTCACAGCAGGCAAATCTGCTTTTGGAGTTGGAAAACGGTGTTGCCGCGACATCTCAAGAACTAATCGCTGGATTGTCTTCATATTTGGAACTTGGTGTATATACAGACTCCGCAGACTCTAGTCGGTTTTTGTGACCTTGACCTCATGTTCAAGGTCACAGCAGGCAAATCTGCTTTTGGAGTTGGAAAACGGTGTTGCCGCGATATCTCAAGAACTAATCGCTGGATTGTCTTCATATTTGGAACTATGGTGTATATACAGACACCGCAGACACCAGTCGGTTTTGGTGACCTTGACCCCATTTTCAAGGTCACAGCAGGCAAATCTTTTTTTGGAGTTGGAAAACGGTGTTGCCGCGATATCTCAAGAACTAATCGCTGGATTGTCTTCATATTTGGAACTATGGTGTATATACAGACACCGCAGACACCAGTCGCTTTTGGTGACCTTGACCCCATTTTCAAGGTCACAGCAGGCAAATCTGCTTTTGGAGTTGGAAAATGGTGTTGCCGCAATATCTCAAGAACTAATCGCTGGATTGTCTTCATATTTGGAACTATGGTGTATATACAGACACCGCAGACACCAGTCGCTTTTGGTGACCTCGACCCCATTTTCAAGGTCACAGCAGGCAAATCTGCTTTTGGAGTTGGAAAATTGTGTTGCCGCAATATCTCAAGAACTAATCGCTGGATTGTCTTCCTATTTGGTACTATGGTGTATATACAGACTCCGCAGACACCAGTCGATTTTGGTGACCTTAACTTAATTTTCAAGGAAACAGCAGGGAAATCTGTTATTCGAGATGGAAAACAGTGTTGCTGCGATATCTCAAGAACTAATTTCTGGATTCCTTCATGTTTGATGATATTGGCTTTTGGAGTTGGAAAACGGGTGTTGCCTCGATATATCCAAAACTAATCGGTACTGTGGTACTTGATTGTTGAAAACATTTATGAAGTGTTCAAGTGTTCAATATGTCAGCGAAGCACATCGTCCTGTCTAAAGCTAAAGGGTAAGTATCTTTGTTTTATGCATTTTTTTCTGTTTCATTTGTGATAAGGGGGTAGCAGTATATTTCAAACCTACCACCAACTTCATTTACTTCAAGTTTCAAATTCAAAATGATATATTTTCTTTGAAATTTATGCGCAATGAGACTGTATTATTTTAATTTGTTCACTGATTTAGTTGCAATGTTCAAAATTCTAAATTTGATACTTTATTATTTTGTTCACTGATTTAGTTGCAATGTTCAAAATTCAAAATTTGATACTTTATTATTTTGTTCATTGATTTAGTTGCAATTGTCAAAATTTTAAATTTCATTAAAGGAATGATTGTTTCAGAATTTGTTTGAAATGCACTGTTGTAAAGGTATTCATCAGACATCTTTGATTGGCATTTTATATTCGTCACTGATCAGAGAATGTTACAAATTGCATATTTATCTTATTCCTTAATCATGCCCAAAAGTGAGATGGGTATCTTTGATGTGGCAGAGCCTCCACGTGGTACCACCGGGCAACATGGACAACTACTGCATTAACTTATATTATGTTTATTATGTTAAATGAGGAGAAAGAGATCTTTTGTATTTTGTGTCTCTTTATAGATCTTCAGAATAGAACAGACAAAAATAAGTAGTTTTCCATGGCAAAATCAGCCACGTTTTTCTAATGATAATTGTTTATTCTTTTCAGATATTGTCTATTATACATGGAAATAAACTCTCAACAAAACAACATGGTAATGTGTAATATAAATGTGACTTCCTCCCTGCATGTGTATAGTGTGGTTCCTGCTTTGCTGTCAGCCTGTCACAGTCTGTCGAAGTATAGATGTCCACCTGCATGCTTACCCTAATATTAATGCTTGTGTTTCCTTTACACATTGCTTAGTGATCTATCTATTCTTTATTGTTTGCCTTTGCTATCATCATAATCCTACACATATTTTTAGAATATGGAATTATATGGACGCTGTAGACAGATTCATCACTAGGCTTTGTGTTTCACAGCATCCATTGGTGAATGGTACCTGAAACATCTTCACCCTTCACCCTTCACCCTTACTATATAGATATACCTGCTTTATGTATATATCCATTTATGCACTGCCATTCACTGGTCATTGGGAGGGTTTATTAATCATCTAATCTAGTTTGTCACTATCACAGTATTAACCATTTCAGATAAATCTGCACCTATTATAAACATGTCTGACAACACTTCCACACCTACCAAGCACCCACGTCTTGATGCTGACAGCCCTGGATGTTCTTCCGCCCCCACCGCACCACGGAAAAGCCTTCCTATGGATGCCAGTGTACAGCAGCTGCACAAAGACTTAGAACACTACATGAGTGCCACAAGGGCGGTTCTTGAACTCCCACAGCCCCAAGTGAAGTCTGCAGTAATGCTATTAAGCAAGATGGAGAATGTCAAGCAAAATGACATTGCCTGTGTGAGGCGAAGTGTCAACTCCTTAAGACAATCTTTGGAAGCAAGGGATAAAACCATATCATCCCTTCGAAATGAACTTGAAAAAGAGAAAAACCAAAATGCCCCCTGGGACGATATGGATTTAGATGTTGTCGATGATAACACAGCCAAGGACACTCCAGCTCCAGCTCCAGCTCCAGCTCCTAATGACGCTCCAGCTCCTAAGGACGCTCCAGCTCCTAAGGACACTTCAGCTCCAGCTTGCAATGACGCTCCAGCTCCTAAGGACACTTCAGCACCAGCTCGCAAGGACGCTCCAGCTCCTAAGGACACTTCAGCACCAGCTCGGAAGGACGCTCCAGCTCCTAAGGACACTTCAGCTCCAGCTCCTAAGGACACTTCAGCTCCAGCTCCTAAGGATGATGCATGAACATCATGCTACACTTATTGTGTCCATTATTTCACACCTTTTTCACATTTTAGTTTAGATTAACATTTAGTTAAGATTCACTTTTCTTGTACATGTTGACGGGAACATTTCTTTTTAGTGCATTACATATACTCCCTTTCTTAATAGTTTTTTTTTGCTACTACTTGTACTTGATATTGTTTGCTGCGATTTGTTATGTCTGTTCTTTATTGTTTACCTTTGCTATCATCATTGGTGAATGGTACCTGAAACATCTTCACCCTAACTTCATACTATATATGCCTTTACTTATATATCCATTTATGCACTGCCATTAACCGTATTATGTTTGGTTATGTATTATATGTGAGCAGATACTGTTCCAAGTATCTCAAAAATCTCTGTTTCACAAGATTGTTTTCAAATTAAATGTATAAATATATGTTGTTCTTTTGTATAACATTCTTTTTTCTTAGCAGTCTGAATTCCTAAATGTAAAATAACTGAAATTCATGTGAATGTCATGTCAATTTACAAGGATTTACAAGAGCAGTCATGCATTCAATGTAAGGTGGCAATTATCCTAATCTTTAAATATCTTCCTTAAACATGTTGCTTTCAATTTCTGGAGAACATTTTCTCCCGTGTAAGAGCACCTTACATTCAATACCTGACTGCTCTTACAATGTATTTGATGTTGAAATTAATAAAGTGGTTCATCCACAGATAACAGAAGATGAGGACGAAGTTTGACAGTCCGGCAAAACGTGCTGCAAAGAGGAGGGAACAGCAGAGACAGAAACGCCATAGCAAGGTATTTATCCATTTCATACAACAATACAATGTAGTGATAGTCCTCAAACTACACATAAGAATCATTTTGTTTCATTTTTCTCATTATAGAAGGAGGCAGGTGATGCACCAAGCAGGCCCCCCACATCAAAGGAGAAAAACACAACAGAACATTATAGTGCTAATGATAAGGTACTCTTACAAATAATTTTGTCAATATTTATATATTCAATGAAATATAACACAGTTTGAAATATTACATTTCCCTGTTTAATGTTTTAATATGTTTTGAAAATCTTTCAAAACTTTGACAAAAAAATTGTTTATTTTTGTTAATGAAAATTGATTGTGGATTTATTCTTCATACTGTTAATGCAAATTAATTGTGGATTTATTCTTCATACTGTATACATGTATTTCCTTTTTCATTTACAGTCAGATGATGTACATGTACCCTACCAGAGCAGCACATATTTGAATAAGACATCCAACAATCCTACAACAGAAAATAGGGTAGGATTTGTTTGGGTTATGATTAAAAGTGAATTGCTCGCATGCTTTATCAGAACTATATGCACTGTAAAATATTCATTTGAATATCTGTGACTGTTGCGTATAGAGTATGTTATTCGTGGGACATGTCACCAAGGACATCCCAAGTATGTCTCTGCTGCAGGGAAACAGTGCACTTGTGCCAGTTTAGTGTTCATCTTAAACTGCATCCTGGATGGAAACTTGCAATCATGGAGGCCAACTGATATGGATAACATCATCTGCCATGCATCATATCTCTATCTTGATATAGAAAGAACAGCTGACTATTTAATGATCACTGAGCTACCATCAAATATACAGTATAAAGAAACATTTTTCCACATTGATACATCAGATGCGATACGTGGTTCCTTGAACAGGAGAGTGAGTGAACCTCCTTTCCATACACTGAAAGATGCCTTAAGAGATATTTTTGCCTCTCACAATGCCATGTTTTTGACGATGGGAACAAATACTATGGCAATAGTAAAGAACTCGGGCGTGGGAGACAATTGCTATTACTTCTTTGACTCGCACTCCAGGAGCCCTTCAGGGTTTTGTAATGAGATAGGTACTAGTATTGTGATGAAATTCCACACTCTCAGTGCTCTTTGTGGGAGATTGAAAGCCTTTGGACGTTCACTGGGTGTACCTAATGCTCCATTTGAATGTACACCAGTATCTGTCTATGCAAGGAATTCAAGAAGTGAATCAGGAACTGTTTATATTCCACAAGTAACTTTTACAGAACTTCAGGCAAAATCTTTATCCTCGCTCTTTGCAGGTTTTGAAGGCTTGCAAAAATATTTTGCTCACAGACCTCAGGAAAATCGTTCAAATCGCAAACATCAGAAAGAAAAAGAACCTGAAACGACATGTTCTCAACATTTACCAAGCTATAACACTTCACGTAAAAGACAACGGAGGATTGAAAAAACGAAACACATGACAGAGTCTGAGAGAAGAGCTTGACAGAGAAAGAGACCGTATTAAGAAATTCAGGGAGAATCAGTATGCAAAAATGACAACACCAGAGAAAGCTGAAGTGCACGAAAAAGAAAGAAATCGAAAAAAAAGAACAACTAACTACATCCAAGAAGAATATGACGGGAACTGAAATCACTGCTAATAATGAACGAGAAAAAGACCGTAAGCAAGGACAAAGAAGAAGCCAACAATCTATAATGACAATACCAGAGAAAACAGAAATGCGAGAAACAGAAAAATATCGATTAAAAGAACACAGAACATGAATCAAGAAGAATATGACAGAAACTGAAATTACTGCTAATAATGAACGAGAAAAAGATCGTAAGCAAAGACAAAGAAGCCAACAATCTAAAATGACAATACCAGAGAAAATGACAATACCAGAGAAAACAGAAATGCGAGAAAAAGAAAAAATATCGATTAAAGAACACAGAACATGAACCAAGAAGAATATGACAGAAACTGAAATTACTGCCAATAATGAACGAGAAAAAGACCGTAAGCAAAGACAAAGAAGAAGCCAACAATCTAAAATCACAATACCAGAGAAAACAGAAATGGTAGAAAAAGAAAAAAATCGAATAAAAGAACACAGAACATCAACCAAGAAGAATATGACTGAAAGTAAGGCTAATAATACCAGAGAAAAGGACCGTGTTAAAAGATACAGTCAGGAACAAAATGAAAGCTTAGGCCAATCAGAAAGAGCAATGAAAAGATGAACCGAGGCTAAGCGGCGAAAGACAAGCCGACAACAAGCACAAAGTAAACTAAAAAAACAACCAGTTGAACCTGGACAACTCGATTATTTAACTCCTTCAGTAATGAACGATTTAGAGGCCTTCATAAAGCCATAAAATCGGACCCTGTGCACCCATGTGTTTTTTGTTCACGGTTGCTTTACAAGAGGTCTGTGAAATACAAGAAGGGACAATATTCAGGATCAAGAAACCTTAAGGACAAACTTCCAGATCAGACAGATGCTACTGAAGTACAGTATATATGCAAGTCATGTCATGGATCACTAAAAAAGAATAAAACACCTCCACAAGCAACCTGGAATGGATTACAACTGTCTCCAATTCCAAATGTAATGAAAGATCTATCACTTCTTGAATGTCACTTGATAAGCAAAATCCTGCCATTTATGAGCTCAGCATGGCATTAAAGGTTCTGTTGTGCTAGTACCTGCAGACCTTAGCAAAATCACTACAGCACTTCCAAGGACATTTTCTTCATCAGGATTGATAACATTGGCGTTGAAAAGAAGGTTGTCAGATGCACATTCGGTTCATAGACAATACATCAACCCAGAAAGGGTCAACATGGCTCTGCAGTACCTCCTTCAACACAATGCATTCTACCAAGATGTCACTGTTAATGGTATGTGGAAAGAGTTGTGCAAAGATCAAATCCTGATACTTGGACAGCTGTTACATCAGATCTGAACCAAGACAATGATGTTCATTGTGAATCAGATGTAACTGACAGTGAGGATGAAGTGGAAGCAGAGAACCCAATTGCAGTGTAACTTGAAACAAATAATAAGCGGTCCTTAAACAACATTACCTGTATGACACCAACATTCGGACCAGATATTGAGACAAATGAGTTGTTGAACATTGCCCCAGGAGAGGGGAATAAGCCAGTTTCTGTTTCAAAGGAGCCAAACTGGGAGGGGATGGCATTTCCTGGACTTTTTCCTGACGGCAAAGGGACATTCAATAACCCATAACTCCTCGTAGTGTACCAATCTCTGCAAAGAAGTATATTAATGCCCGTTTATTATCAATTGATAGTAGATGTGCAGAGAGCACTGAATACATTTTCCAGTCCTTGCATTGGTTATAAACCATGGCTCTGCAAAGTAACCTGAGTATAACTCAGAGAAAGAGAACAAACGAAACCCTAACTGCTTGACAGTTCCGAGATCCATCAAGACTACAGAGACTGATTTCAAACGATCAATTATTCTCGAGATTCGAGAACATCCGTGGCACACCGCAATATTGGCATGCTTTACAATTGGACATGCTGGCCAAGGTGAGACAATTGGGCCCATACACTTTTTTCCTAAATGGATCATCTGCTGAATTCCAATGGACAGAAGTAATACAAGAGATTGCACAGCAATATGGACAATGTTTCACTGATGCAGAGGTCAATGAAATGTCTTGGCAGACAAAGAGATCATGACTGCAACGGAATCCAGTGTCAGCTGCTCGACACATAGATTATATTTTTGAACAGCTCTGGGGAAAAATCATATTGAGTGGAAATCATCCTGTTGGTCAAATTCTAAATTATGATCGTGGCATTCAGATGCAAGGTCGCGGAACAGCTCATTGGCATGCTGCAGTACATGTAAAAGATGCCCCAAGACTTGATGTTCAATCAGATGAAGAAGTTGCATCTTTCATTGATAAACACATCTGCTGTTCTCTTCCAAATGGAACTGTAGACCCTGAACTTCATGAGCTTGTCAAGTCCCGACAAACCCATCATCATACTTCAAAATGTAAGAAAAATAAAAAAACAACATTGCAGATTTGGATTTCCCAAGCCACCATCTGGCAAGACATTTATCGCTAGAACATCGATTTCTGATGAAGACAAACTTGGTGAAAACTTGGCAAGAGAAACTCTGAGTAGAGTGATGAATGTCCTACAATCACAATTCTCTGGAACACTTCAAGATCTACTTGACGAAGCCGGAGTTACATTTGACCAGTACCAGTTTGCACTCAATAACAAATGCAAAAAGGTTTCTGTTATCACGAAGAGATTGCCGGATGAAACTAATGTGAATAACTACAACTACAACTACAACTACAACTACAAGTCATTCTTCGTGCCATTAGAAGTAACATGGACATTCAGTTTATCACAGATGTATGGGCATGTATCGCTTATTTGTGTTCATACATGTGTAAGCCTGAGCGAGCCATGTCTGAAAGCCAGCAAAGAATCTAATTCAAAACCTATCCGTGAACAACTCTTCAGCATTGGTCAGATCTTCCTCAAATCTCGGGAAGTATCAACACACGAAGCTATAATACGTCTTCTCCCCCTCTGTCTACGAAAATCTGATCTGGATGTTTCCTACATTTTAACTGACCTGAAAGAAAACCGAACTCGTCTCATGAAACCAATATCTGTCATTTCTTCACTGCATGGGGATGATGAAGATCTCTTTGTTGCTTCTACACATGACAAATATGCTTCAAGACCATACATTCTGGAGGACATATGTTTAGCAGAATTTTCTACAACATATACAAACGGTCAGAGGAGGAATGAAGAAGAAGAAGAAACAGAACAACCTGAAATTGACATGAACCTGGCAAATGCAACCATCACTCTACAGAACAACTTGGGAAAATTGAGGAAAAGAAAAAGACCTTCTATACTAAGATATCACTTTGTGTCAAGAGAAAAAGACAGTGAGTGCTACTACCACATATTTCTCCTCATGTACTTCCCATGGAGTGAAGAGGAATCCCTCCGACACAGAGATGGAACATACGAGAGTCGCTTCAAAGAGGTTCAAGATACTATTTGTGACACTATCCAGAAATATGAGCCTTTCTCCGCTGAGGTGGAAGATGTTGTACAGAATTTTGACCCAAATGAGGCCGATGAAGACATATGGAATTTTTACGGAGAACGTGAAAGAGATATTCTTGAGAACTCAGATATGCCAGATCCAAACTATGCTGCTCTTGACCCTGACAACATTGATCAACAACCTGAAGATCGATCACATGAACCATATGAAACTGAAAGAAATATCTCTATGCTTCCAGACATTGACTTCTTCTCTCTGATTTCTACACTCAACCGAAAACAGAAGATGCTCTTCCAATTCATATATGAGTGGGCTGTGCACATTAAACATGGATCAACGTCAAGACCTTTCCATATTTTTCTGAGCGGAGAAGGAGCGACTGGCAAGAGTCATTTAGTACATGCGGTCAGCCATTGTGTGACTAGAACATTAAGAGAGGCAGGTAGTGACCCTGACAAACCAACTGTACTGATTACAGCTCCTACAGGAAAGGCTGCAACGAACATCAATGGCACAACCTTGCATAGTGCATTTCCACTACCAATTAGAGACAATTTTGCCAAAGAGTACAAGAAGCCATCTTCAGAGCATTTAGCAAAACTTCACAACAGATATGCTAATTTGAAACTGCTAATCATTGATGAGATTTCAATGGTGGGAGGGAGTACATTAGAGAATTTGTCTTTGGCTCTTCAGAACAGAGGGTGCCCTTTGGTGGATTGTCCCTTCTTGTGGTTGGAGATCTTCTACAGCTTAACCCAGTCGGAGATAGAGCAGTATTCAAATCATCAACCAATGATTATCAAGCTCTATATGGCTCTTTGTGGAAAAGACATTACAGTCTCCATGAGTTAAATAAAGTGATCAGGTAGAGAGGTGACCCTTTGTTCAGAGATGTACTTTCAAGGTTTCGAACTGGATCAGTCACAGAATAGGACATTAACATCTTGAAAAACAGTGAGTGTACAACTGAACCTCCAGAAGATGCCATTCGCTCATTTATCACCAACAAAAAGGCTGATGATTACAACAGATCCAAGATAAGTCAGTTTCACAATACCATCACAATCAAGGCTCATGATTCATCAAAGGACTTGATAACACGGTCAGATGTTTTCATACAGACAAGAAACATTCATGAATCTGGAAATTTTCCTGATGAGTTATCAGTCGCATTAGGGGCACGATTCATGCTCACGAAGAATATAAACACAGCTGATATGCTTGTTAATGGAACAATTGGAGCTGTCGTCAGGCTTGATATACCCCAGAGAGATCCGCTAAGTGGTGTCATCTATGTGCAGTTTGATAATGAACAGGCAGGAGCACAAGCTAGAAGAGGAAACCCTCCGAACCTTAAAGATGCAACTCAAATTAGGGCTGTTACAGCAAGATTCTTTGTGGCACAAACTAAGATAGTTGCAGTGGAACGCAAACAGTTTCAAGGGATATAAGCTTGGGCAGTCACTGTACACAAATCTCAGGGAAGTACATACACCTCCATGGTAGGGGACCTCTCAACCCAGAAAAACACTCCAATTATGCAGGGCCTTGTCTATACTATGCTCAGTAGAGTCACATCTCGAGAAGGACTTTCTCTACGTGGTTTTGATCCAAAGAAGATTAAGGTCAACAAGGATGCCCTCGAAGAAATGGATAGACTAAGAGAAGAGAATTTGTTTAATTGGTTACCACCAATACTCAACATGCCCCCAGATGGTCTTCTTGTTGGACACTTGGACATCAGAGGCTTCTACAGTCACTACCGTCATCTCCTTTCAGAACAGTTTACCACGATCATGTCAGTGTTGTGTCTGTCTGAAACTCACATTCAACAGGAAATGATTCACAGGTACAATCAAATCCCATCTCATTCACTTCTGAACCATGTATCTGCACATGGTGTGTCAATGCTCATCAAAACAGAACTTACTTTCACTCATCTTCACTGTGACACCTCTCTGGAACTGATTGCCACACATATCAATGACTCTACAAAGCCTGTTCTGGTTGTGTCAGTGTATAGACCCCCAGGTGCAATGAGAAACTTTCTCCATCTGCTGGAAGAAGCTCTTTGTCAACTTCCATGGAGAGATAATGTTACTGTTTTGACTGGAGACTTCAATATGAACAATCATACTAAGCTGTGTGACATGCTGATGAAGTTTAATCTTCATCTTGTTCAAGGAACTCATAGAAGTACTCACATTCAGGGAGGTCACTTAGATCTGATATTCACAAACAGCACCTGTGTGGAACCTACAGACCCAGCACCAGTATACTTCACAGACCACTTTCTGGTGTGGGTGAAGATGTAACAGTTTGGTGTGCATGAACTTGTTATGGAGTATGATTATGGTTTTGTAACTAATTTGATGTTAATTGTGTCCTATGAAAAACAATAAGAGAATTCTGCCTTTTTTTTTTTTCTGTGTCATGTTGTTATGCAAATATGACAGACATGTCTCTATATGAGCAGCCATGAGCCGATTTGATTTGCAGGAATTTGGGTAATTATTTCTAATGGTACGACAAAAAGTTCCATGGAGGTATCTAACACAGAAAATAATATTATTCAAAAGGAATAAAATATTTGGAAAAAAACACATATCGCATAAGGCGGCGGGGGACATTTCGTCACTTTGTAACAAATACTTGTCATAATTGTATTCACGAAAACAATTCTTTACTTTACTTTAATTCACCCCGAGGTCATAAACCAAAACGAGGAGCTTTCAGACAAGCGTGCCTCTGCCAAAACACATATTGTTACTGGGCAATCAAAACATGTGACGGAAACTAAAACACTTTAGCTACTCACATCACTTGACAATGGTTTTTTTAACCATTAACAGTGTTTCCACGATGGTTGTCATTCAGGTTCCAGATGTAGGCAAGACGAATACGACCCGTGAAGATCCGGGGTAGAACAGGTCTTCAGCAACCCATGCTTGCCGTAAAAGGCGACTACGCTTGTCGTTAGAGGCGACTAACGGGATCGGGTGGTCAGACTCGGTGACTTGGTTGATGCATGTCATCGGTCCCAGTTGCGTGGATCGATGCTCATGTTGTCAATCACTGGATTGTCTGGTCCAGACTCGATTATTTACAGACCGCCGTCATATAGCTGGAATATTGCTGAGTGCGGCGTTAAACAACAAACCAAACCAAACCAAAACGAGGAGCTTTCAGACAAGCGTGCCTCTGCCAAAACACATATTGTTACTGGGCAATCAAAACATGTGACGGAAACTAAAACACTTTAGCTACTCACATCACTTGACAATGGGTTTTTTAACCATTAACAGTGTTTCCACGATGGTTGTCATTCAGGTTCCAGATGTAGGCAAGACGAATACGACCCGTGAAGATCCGGGGTAGAACAGGTCTTCAGCAACCCATGCTTGCCGTAAAAGGCGACTACGCTTGTCGTTAGAGGCGACTAACGGGATTGGATGGTCAGGCTCGCTGATTTGAATGAATCATGTCATCGATCCCAATTGCTTGGATCGATGTTCATGATGTAAATCACTGGATTGTCTGGTCCAGACTCGATTATTTACAGACCGCCGTCATATAGCTGGAATATTGCTGGGTGCGGCGTTAAACAACAAACAAACAAACAAGACGAATACGACTACAACACTGTTGAAATCTCCGATTGCCCTGGTTTTTTGAGAAATGCTACTCATAAACTGCAAATATGCCGTACACCACAGGATTTCGTTTGGCGCCGTGATTACCTTGAGTGTATTATAACATTGCTCTTATTCATCACGACAAATGTATTTCCTTCTCGTCCAGAAAATACAATCATAGGGAATAAACCTGTCTTTGAATCGTTTGATGGATATTTACCATTAAAACCTACGCTCTTGTCAAACGGCTCACGTGGGTGGGTCTTTGCACGCCACGTCACTGGTTTACGCATTTACCAATGAAATGTGTGTGTTATCATGACGTCATATTGCCTCGTCTGATCACTCGTATAAGCTCCGCCTACTAAGAGTGCTTTTTGTAACATCATATGTAAATCAATTTAAAAGGCGTGAAATTTTGGGTTTCAAGGAAGGGATGTTCTTTTGGATTCTTAGCACAGGGTAGCACGGTTTTTATGTTAAATATATTGGACTGTACAGTCGAACTGTAAGAACTGTATGTAACTGATTCCAAGATGTTATGACTGAGTGAATGAATGTTGTTTTACGCCACAAGACTGCCTCTGCATCATCGTTTCTGTGTCAGAGACAAACTAGATGTTGACAGCATTGGCAACATAACACGCCGTTGTTGCACAGTTAACCAGGTCCCCCACGAGATACTATCTTCCCCAGGAATACCTGTGTAGAACAAAGCCGAAACTATTGTCAGTACCTGGCTGTATATTCACATTGATTTTCATGCGCATGATTAACAATAAATGTTTGCATGTTTTAATTACTAATATGTAAATCGGGGTTTCCTGACTAACAGGGTTTCACTGTATTAGTTTGGTAAAAATATTAAATTTATTAAAATATTTAATAATTTATTTCCAGTGCCAACTAGACTGTTATTATACTCAACTGTTTCCATTTCGTTGAATTGTGTTTGCCATTTCCCTTCCGGTAGATTAAAAAAATATTTCATTATATCATTAAATTAAAATATTTCTCAGATCATGAAGGACTAATAACCATTTAGATATTTCTTAGATTATGTCACGATTCTCACCAACTGCTTTCATACGTTTTCCGAGGATAGAATGCCACATGTACTCTCGTCGACGATAATAAGAAAAGCAATCCACAGGGTCTTACGTAAGCGATATATCCAGTGGAGACAATTTGAGATCATATCTTACAAGCCTAAAATCATTTTATATTACAATGCACCACTTACCTCCCGGACGTTTGGAACGCTTGTATGAACAGATCACGCTTTTACATCATGTAACACGAACACCAAAGACGGACATGGAACACCTGCAATCTTCCCTTTTTGGGAGTGATTCATAAACACATGCTCATGCTGTAGTCGGAATCGTACAACGGACTCCACTTTAAGCAGAGAATTCTTATGATTATGGACAATTTGTAGCTTATATTTATCAGTTATTAGTCTCCAAGACCCTGGAGAATTTATTACAAAATGAGTCCAACTCAAGTCTAGTCCAGATTGCCTCAGCTCTAGGATTAAAGATTGTTCTGGGCTCATTGAGTATTGTTATATTTTTTGCTGTGATACATTTACTTCTCAATATTTGATCGAAATACTTATTTCTTCGACTATTTAAATGTTACATACATTAGACGTATTAATTATTTATATTTGGTGTCACTAAGAAATATCCTCATCCAAAGATGAGCACATTGTATGATCGATACAACGCTGATCATGAAGCAATCTACATTTTCAAGTCTTATGTGTATTGAAGTAGACTTTTCCAAAGTCTTTCTTCGTCTCAGGTGTGGTGAGGTGGAATGAGGATTTTGTACGCCGCGTTCAAGATTATTGCCTTTATATGGCGACGTGCATGTACTAGTCCTGACTTAAGCCGGTTTTAAAGTGCTTGCCCATTGAGATACCATGAAGCAGTTTTAACATGAAGTCATTTCTGGAGATTCGAACATGCGCTCGCAACTTGATGACGTCGTAAATAGGCTGACGTTATTTTTAAGAGTGAAGCGTCAAGTGAGTTGTCCCTGCAGATAAATGCAATGGCCGAACGATCGCACCCAAAAGTGGGTGTGTTATGACAATCGGTATAGGGAGAAAAGGTATAGATCATTGACATGAAAATTGTGAGAATATCAGGGAAATACCAACCTTAACCCCCTCTTCATAAAATGGACTTGTCTGACATTACCGAGGTC